GCCTCATATAGATGTTAAACAGCATTGGGGAGATGATCGACCCCTGTGGAACCCCACAATTGAGACTCCATGGGGCCGAAATACTCTCCCCAAGCTGCACTCTGGGGGCAGTCCTCCAAGAAGGAACGGAGTCAGGCTAGAGCCAAGCCACCGATACCCAACTTAGAGAGCCTCCCCAGGAGGATACCGTGGTTAATCATCCCCCACCCCCCATGTTCTATGGAAAACGAGACTGGCTTCTGCCTCCAGCTGCAGAGCTTAGTTGAGGGCAGTTGGTTGCACCTCTTTGTTTAAGAAAAGTGCCCTGTTTGTTGTTCATCTGTCCCAGTTTCCATAAAACTCTCTGTGCTTTCTGCAACTGTACATCTGACTCATGGAGGGGACTCATGAGGCTGTTTACAACTGTATATGATATGCTGCATGGATTTTAATGTCTAATTTTCAACATGTGGCCAAGTCTCCATTCTTTCCTCTAAAGAATGTAAGCATCAGAAGTCTATGAGGTGTGTCTGAAATTTAAGAGCCTCGTGGCGCAGTGGTTAAAACGCTGTACTGCAGCTAAAACTGTGCTCACGACCTGGGGTTCAAATCCCAGGTAGCCGGCTCAAGGTTGACTCAGCCTTCCATCCTTCCGAGGTCGGTAAAATGAGTACCCAGCTTGCTGGGGGGGCAATGTGTAGCCTGTATAATTAAAATTGTAAACCGCCGGGAGAGTGCTTGTAGCGCTATGGGGCAGTATATAAGTCCAATAAATAAATAAATAAATAAAGTCAGAACTGATGTATAGCAACCCTAATAGGGCTTTCAAGGTAAGTGTTATATTTAAGGAGTGATATTCTCAGTTCCATGCCTCCAATGAGTTTCCATGGCAGAGTAAGGATTTGAACTCGGGTCTCCTGAGTCCTAAATTGTCACATTATCCACTGCAGACAGTGGTTCCCTACCTTGGGTCCCCAGATGTTGCCAGCTCTAGAGGAATCTTGCCAGCACAATTAGTGGTGAAGGCTTCTGGGAGTTACAGTCCAAGAACGTCTGGGTACCCAGGGTTGGGAATCACTGTACTACACCACAGTGAATATCCCATATGAATATTACTTTGTCCTAAATATATGTTCCATGATTTAGCAGAATTTATTTATTTTTGCAGGTTTTGGAAGAAAGGATGTGGTAGAACACTTATTGCAGACTGGAGCCAATGTCCATGCTCGTGATGATGGTGGACTGATACCTCTTCATAATGCTTGCTCTTTTGGGCATGCTGAGGTAGTTAGCCTTTTGCTGTGTCAGGGCGCGGATCCAAATGCCAGAGACAACTGGAACTATACTCCTCTACATGAAGCTGCTATCAAAGGCAAGATAGATGTTTGCATTGGTAAGTGTATCTTTTTTTAAAAATCAGCTTATTCGTTGTAGGCTTATAATTATGATTAAAGATGGGGATGACTCACCATTTTGATTTGTCGAAGTTCACGAAGCACAAAGCTGCCCCCCATGAACCGATGATGCATGAAGTTATCCGTTAATTCGTGGGGGGTTACTTAAAAAAACCTGACTGCCACGCCTCTGCGCTGACCACCCCTGGCACCTTCTCCAATGTACCCCTACTGTAATTGTCGCCGCCAGTATCTCCAGCTGGCTTCCGCAACCACGGCCTGTAGAAAGGGACACTGGCTACCCTTTGCATAGATGGTGGCTGCAGCTTCTCTACCCTAAATGAAGCAGCAGCCACCATCTTTGCAAAGGGCAGCCATTGTCCCTTTCTACAGGCCATGGCTGCGGAAGCCAGCTGGGGATGGCAGCGATTGTTGTGGGGGTGTGGCAGTGGGGTGTGGCGGCTAAGGTAGGGAGAGGAAGGAGGTGGGGGATAGGCTGCGAGGGTGGATGGCTGCCTATCGCCTTGCTGATTTGTTGATCAGCAGGCCGGTAGGCAGAATGCGAAAGCCATAGGAAGAGAGGGAAGGCTAGCCTTCCCCCTCTTCGTACGAGGGACAAATAAAAAACGGGAAATATTAATCCCTTCATATTCGTAGGGGTCTCTGGAATCCACAAATATGAAGGGACAAATATTTAACGAATCAGCGATTTCTGATGAATATCGTGATCTGCTTTTTTATTCATCCCCATATCTAATTATACTACTGAAACAATGAAACAGATACCAAAGCAAAACCACATCCAGATATTCCAGTAAGGAGTGGGATCTTTAAAATCTCTATTAAAATTCTGATTTTTTGTTAAATGTGTGGCTGTAGTTTTTTTATACACATATGATATGAGTCCAGCTTTTTTCAAAACCAAAGCCAGAGTTGGTGGATTTGTGTAAATGATGGTTATTTGTTCCACAACTGGATAGAAGAAATCTAACTGCAGCATTGATATTTACAGCCACCTTTCTTGAACAGTTTACCACAATCTCCTTTCCTTAAGCTTGCCATAGCTCATATTTGAATGTGTTATCATATCATGATCAGTGATGAAACTGTTTGATTCTAAAATGTGTTTCCCATGGGATGAAACTGAGCAGTGTGCCAGCATCCTGTCTGGGGAGATCTATGAATATTATATTGTAGTATGAAGAAGTGTGCTTTTAAAAACTGTTAACATGGCAATTTTTTGTCCCTTGTGAGTGGGTGTGGCTTACTAATTCAGTGCTTTCCCCTCCCCTTATCTTACTTTTTTTCCCTTTTAGTAAAGGCATACTCTGCATCAGAAAGTAGGAAAGTTACCTAAAGATGGGAAAAAACCTTTTGTTTTAAAACAAAAAAGTTGTGTTTGAAGTGCTACTTCCCAAACGAAAGAAATCCAGAACACAAATCAACTCTTCCCCATCAAAACATGGGTTTTAATGTCTACATCAAGTTAAATAAGAGGCTAGCTCCATTTTTCATTTCCTAATGAGGGGAATGTATTGCGTACTCAGGATTAAGACCATTAAAAACAGTGAGACTTCGATCCAGCAAATAAAGATCCATTGGACTGAACTGGTGAAAGTTACGTAACTGTAGACAGGACTGTGCTGCAAATCTGCTGTTCATTGATGTATTGAAGCCTGGTTTTGATTTCATTTCTTCCACATCACTCATGATATACTGTACAAGAGTGGGCTGTTTAGTGGCATTATTCTGTAGTGTATTAACTGAGATGAAACTAAAGATACAAGAAAGATACATTAGTTTACTTAATGTTTTGAGTGAGGGAAGGCAGTTGACTTGTAATCTGAATTTATTGGTTTTGGGGTCATATACCTTTAAACTTTTTGATTTAAATTGAAGTTGTTTTTTTTCTGGTGGAGCATTGCATAATACCATTAAAGTTTGCATTCAGAAAATTAAATATCAGCTTTTTGTCCAGAAATGTTGGAATCCACAAATATGAAGGGACAAATATTTAACGAATGTTTAATGACGAATCCACATAGCGATGGCTTTTTTGCGATCGCTTTTGCGATCGCATTGCAATGTTGCCTATGGGGAAAAATCGCTTTGCGATTTCCCCCCATAGCCCATTTTCCCCCAGCTGACTGGCGTGGGCTTGGGAAGGACCACAGGGGAGCCCTCCCGCGCGGTCCTTGCAAAGCCACCGCCGGCATTTTTGCCCAGCTGAGCGGCGGGAGCTTCCGAAAGACCGCGGGGGAACCCTCCCCCATGGTCCTTCTGAAGCCACTGCCGCTCAGCTGGGCGAAAATGCCGGCGGTGGCTTCGGAAGGCCCCATTTTTGCACAGCTGATCGGCGGTTCCAAAATGGCTGCCTGCTGTGTTGCCTCGCTTTAGAGGCACCGAAAATGGCCGCCCCATGGAGGATCTTCACATAACGGTGAGTTTTCCCCCCCATAGGAACGCATTAAACAGGGTTTAATGCGTTCCTATGGAGTTTTTTGCCCTGTATAGCGACGAATCCGGATAGCAACGATTTATCCAGAACGGATTATCATTGTTATGCGGGGCACCACTGTACATATTTGAATCAAGTAACTAAAAAGCAACTTTATTCATGATCCAAATAGTGAAAAAACGTACTGTAGTCTGTTATTGCTATGCTGCTGTTACACTATTTGGAGTAAAAACAGTATAAGAATAGTGCATTTTTGACAATTTTACTATTGTCAAAAAGGGCTTTGCTGACCTTCTGTGGAAGAGGAAACAACTAAAATTTATATGAAATTATTATATTCAGTGTTCCAGTTTCTTCGTATATCTTACAGAATGAATGCATTAGCAAGTTTTTGCTGATGTTCACCCTGTGGGCCAAATGATGTGTTTGACTGTCCCTCTGATTTTGAGCAGCAACCTCTTCTCCAAGCTTCTCTTTAAATAAGGATATATTAATGCACTATTCTTATAAGTAAACACTCACTCCTTAATACCCTTAATAGGAAAAAAAAGAAGAGGGGACTCTTCTTTTAACCCAGAAAGGTTTATTTATTTAAACAAGGATCAAATTGCCTGGACTAGTAAACATGGTTTAAGCATGGATGGGACTGTCCTGCAACTCTGTAGCTGATAGCATTATAAAATCCTGTGTTTTAGTTTTTCCAAGCTCCTGGTGATGTGTAAAGAGCAAGGTGGCAGTAGGTTTATGCTATAGTATTTAGCTGAAGTAGAAGTACAAAAATAGTATGTGTGTTTGTGTGTGTGTGGGGGTAGCATTTAGGATTAAGCTTCAGGTATAACATTCTGCTTTAAACCATTCCTTCTCCTTTAAGGATTTTTTTTTTTGCCTTTTGAATTGTGTGAATAGATGGTCACCACAAAAGCCATCATATAAATAAAGAAAGCAAATGTTGGGGATGAACACAAGGTCTGTACAAAGTAGGCCAGTGTCTCCCAACTAATTTTATCTGCAAGGAGTTAACACTTATCACAAAGGAGAAGGGGTTGCTTTTAAGACTGTCTAAAAGAAGCAGATCCAGCACCCTACAAGTTGTTTCTCAGAAGTCTACACTGCAATGGTGCAGTGTTCAGAGACCTTTCCCCCAGAAAACACAGTCCAGGTATGACTGCTGTATATTTTCTGCTTGGTTAAAGGTACAGACTAAGCTTTCAGAAGGTGCCAGGAGCTACAGAGAGAACTGTAGCATTATTAAATTATACATGCATTTGGAATGTTCAGAAAGCATTGTTTCCGCCATTCATTTCTGTGGAAGACATAGCATACAAATATCAGTTGCCACTGTATTATAGGAACCTGACAGTAGCCTGTGGATGGGTTCCCTGGATGTATAACATTTCAGTGTCCCTGTTTATGGTGGTTTGCTGACAATAAGCTAGATTTGAGAATCTCAGAGACCCTCTAGGACCATTTTTACACCTCTTAGAACCCCACTTCCCATTATTAAAAAACAAAGCAAAATGTTTCTTTGGCCATGACATGGAGAATTGTGCTGCAGAGTTTTTGCAGGCTAAAAACTAATTTACAAGGCCAATCATGTGTCAAGGAGATGGGGAAGGGCTTCTTTTCAAGCAGAGAGAGAAATAGTCAAGGTTGAGGAGTCCCTTGGACACTAAGAGCTCTTTGGATTATGGTCTTTATGAAAAGTAGGTGGTCTGTTGCTGTTTTGAAATTGACTTAATATATATGTTTATGTGCAAATGTGCATATTCTGTATGCCAGAGGTTTAACAACTATTGTTTTTTCCTTGCACAGTACTGCTGCAACATGGAGCCGATCCAAATATTCGGAACACAGATGGGAAATCAGCCCTGGATCTTGCAGATCCTTCTGCAAAAGCTGTCCTTACAGGTGAGAAGTGTCTGGCTTATGATTACTTCAGCATGCATAGTCAACCTCTTAAACGTCTCTGTCTAGCTGATCTTACATAAAACTAGCAAAGAGCACATGGTATGTGGTTAATCTAATGCATCACTTAGGAATTGCTAAGTGTTACTAGTTGCTTATTGTACGTGTCTTCAGGCAGTTTATAGCACTCTATTACTACCTTGCATTTTAGTGTTGCTGATTGATTGATCTGTGTTTCTATATGTCCGTCTGTGTGCTTGCACAATAGCACCCCCCACAGTGATATGTATATTATCTTTTTGAATGTTCACATTCCTTCTCCTTTAAGGATTTCAGTCCTAATTTTTTATATTTCAGTCCTTTACAACTCTTTAATAGATTATTCATAGACCTACATAATTGATAATATATCCAGAGTTCACATGCCACAATATATAGATTGAATAAACATACAAATTATCTGTAGTCTTTAAAGGGGTTAAAGATGAGGTGTAACTGGGATAGATGTTAAAGCTTACATTAGAGTGGGTTTGTTCACAGTCTCACTGATTTTTACTTTATGAGTGAAAGAAAAGGTAAAATACTGAGAGTAGTGTTAGATGGCTTATTTTACTCATTCTTCATTTATTCAGCTGCAAACAGAAAGTAGAACATCTTGGACAAGAGCAGTGGTGTGTCAACTGGAATGCCTGTGTTGAAGGCATAATAGCTAGCTAAGCATACCTATTTTAAGATAGGAATGTAAATCCCAGGTTACCTTCCCCCCTCCTTATTTTAATTGGGGTTATTTAGCATATGTGAAGCTGTAGAGTGTGTGGAAAAGGACATCCAAATAATCATAGGGCCAGACAGCTTTCCTGTGAATAGAGATTGCAACATTTTTGCCTTAGCAATAAAGCAAGCAAGATAGGTCTTCTCTTACACACACGATAGAAATTCTGATGATCCAATAAAGCTAAATGATGGAAGTACATCATGACACTCCACACATGAAATTTCTTACAAAAATATTGTGATTGATACTGGCTTGGATGGCTTTAAAAATGGATTAGAAGGCTGATGGAAGGTAAGGCTATCAATGGTGACTATTTGTGATAGCTATATATAATCTTAAGTATAAAGACATTTTTCTCAGAATCAGTTTCTGAGAATACAAATGCTGGAGTGATACTGCACTTCTAATTGGCCACTGTAGGTATAGGAAAGCTTTTAGTGTTATATAATAAGGTTCTTCCTATGTTTCTGTGTATTTTTAGTAAGGTACCCATGTCTGTATATTTATCAGCTGCTTATGTGCTTCTGAAAATTTTCTGTACTTCACATTTTACAATTTAACATTTAGTTTGAGAGAGAATTCATTTAAGATAGGATACTTCACCAATGTTTTCTGAGTGCTGTCACATCTTTGCAATTTAAATCTACGTTGTGATAATGCCTAAAATCCTGTTGCTTAGCATAGTAAGTTGTACTACAGAAGGCCCATTGGATTTGCCGAGTCCACTCCTCCATAACGTCCTCTGATTCAGATAGACCTACTGTAGTTGCAGCTTATTTTAGTATAGTATGTTGCAACTAAAGGTCCATTTGAATGTATGGAAGTAATGTAGGGGTTGATTCACCAAATCTCAACAGATATTTAATGGGCCTTCACTAGTGCAGTTTACTGCACCAAGCAACAGGATTTTGGCCACTATATCATGCGAAAGATTTGAGTTTTAGATAATAATAAAGTTGCTATACAAACAGAAATCTTGAAACAAAAGAAATAATGTATTGGTACTATTGTTGAGGAATACCAATGTGAGGAACATAGGTGAACTACTCAATATTCAGTATATACTTTGCAAGTCAATACAAAACCCTTTTTCATTAGATATCTAGCAGTGCTTTCAGAAAAATAAAGGATGAAAAGTAATAGAACAAGAAGATGAAAAACCATCCCCTAGAAAATTCTTGGGCAATTTGAAGTAAAATCTAATATTAGGTGAGAAAAATTCAGATCATCATAAAGTCCAAAGAGCCACCCTGACGTACGACTTGTCCTGACTAGATTTGCCAAGTTTGTTTAAGAGTCCTCACTGATGATTTCAGACTGCTTTTTCCAAGTTGTAATATCTAAGATCCCTGAATGGAAATTATTTTAAAATCTCATACTTAGACAGCATGCAGTGTGCTAGTAAGCTACTATGCTTTATTACTAGCTGATGTCAGTGAATACAGTTTTGACATACAATTATCCATCTTTAAACATTCCTGTACTGTTAATTGTAACAATGAGCAGAATTCTGTTCATATTTTGTGAATAGTTAGGTGAAATCATGTAAGTCACAGTGACAAACTGTCACTAATCAGTGAGATGCCAGTCACATTCCTGGTTGTGTGGCTGAATACAAAACCAGGAATGCAACCGACACATCAGTGGCAATTTGCTGCCTGATTTCCGATATTGGTGATATGTAAATCTATTGTTAATAACCAATAGAATACTGGCCTCTTTATGATTTAACTTCTCTCCTTTACCATTCTTTTATGTTAGCAGAATTTTTCATGACAAAGAAACTCTTGATTAGTATTTTTAAAAACTGTTTTTTGTTGACATGAGCATAAAAGGTCTGGTCTTACCAGCTTAAAAAGAAAGCCAAGTGTTCTAGAGGAAATAATTATGTGCCCTGATCATAAAAGGAATTACTATTCTCAAGTCAACAGACTCGAATGAAAGCACAATGGCTTACATTAAGCTTAAAAAGACCAGACTTGTCGCATTTTTGAAAAGTAATTAGTTTATTGTGGCATGAAACATCTTTACAAATTATAATGTGGCTACCTTTGCTGTCTTTGTGGTAAACAGGGATGGGTAGTGATTTGGGGGCTTATTCCAGTCTATTGTAGACCAGCACAATAAGGAAGAGTATGTTTCTGATGGAGGGAAAGGAGGTTGAATAATGAGGAACCTATGTTGCTTATACAAGGAATGGATAACTGGTTAAAAACCTGTGGTAGATTGCTCCTTTTACAAGCACTGTACAACTGTCTGCAGCCTTTAAGCTGGAATGAGGTTTCATAATTTGGGACTTGTAAAACTAAGTAGACTGCATTAAGTGTATATTGTTACCTGTCAGGTAAATTATGGCCTCTGAAATTGCCATTGCAGCCAGGTAGCAAAAATGTAGCAAATAGATAACGGGTTCTACAAGTCTATTCTAAGTAGGATTGCAGCTTAATTGAATTACTGTACTTCAATTAATTGTCAGAGTTTTTCATATGTTAATTTATTCATTAAATGTTTATATTGTCTCCCCCCCATGTGTTTTTGCTGACTTGTTTGCTTTTTTACTTCTGGAAAGAGTATTCTTATTCATGCGAAAGACACAGACACCCCTTGCTCCCTCACAGGTTTGTATGTGCTGCTTCATGCTGACAAATATAGTCACTGTTCAACTCAAAAATTACCATAGAACAATAGAAAGGTACATTTGCAATGTATCTTAATGGTCATCTAGTCCAAGTGCCTGCCACAGTAGGAATCCATAACAAAAGCATCCTCAATGATGACTAACCCACTTCCATTAAACCCCTCGCCCCCATGATGGAGAGTGCACCATCTTCTGAGGTAATAAGTTCCATGGCCAAGCAGATTTTCCAGTCAGGAAGTGCTTCCTAGTGTTTCATTGGTATTTTTCTTCCTGCCATTCTAAATCCATTGGTTCAGGTTTTACCCTCTGGAGCAGTACCCTGTTTCCCCGAAAATAAGACCTAACCTGAAAATAAGCCCTAGTACGAGATTTTTCAGGATGCTCATAATATAAGCCCTATCCTCAAAATAAGCCCCAGTTAAGTGAAACCCCACCCTTCACCATTGTGCAGCAACCAGAAGAAGATGGCATGACTGTAAAATAAAACATCCCCTGAAAATAAGGCCTAATGCGTTTTTTGGATCAAAAATTAATACAGTGGTACCTCGACTTACAAACTTAATCCGTATTGAAATGGTGTTCGTAAGTCAAAATGTATGTAAGTCGAAGCACCATTTCCCATAGGAATACATGGGAAGGGATTAATCTGTTCCAGCATTTCGAAAAAAAATACCAAAATTAAAAATAAACAGAGCCAAGTCCCATACTGGAACTGCCAAAAAAATCCAAAAACAAAACAAAAACAAAACAACACAGCACAGAAACATAACCCCCCCAGTCCAAACCCACCCTCCAGAACCCACTCAGAACAGACAGAAACATAACCCCCCGGTCCAAACCCACCCTCCAGAACCTACTCAGAACAGTTTTTTTTTAAAAAAAGAAAAAGCAGGACCTTACCACTCTGAAGCGTCCTCAGCCTCCTGGGCTTCCACTGCTGCTGTGACCACCGCTGGGGGGAGGCTTGAGCCTGGCAGGGGTGCTTCGGCCGCTCGCCTCCCAGCTCGCCTTCCACTTGCTCCGCGCCACCCTCTGTGGGCTGATGGTGGGAAATTCAAATGGTGGAGGGCAGTGAGGAGCGAGCAAGAGGCCTCCCGGCGCTGGGCTACCCCCACCGCATCCCTTTCCCTAAACATTAGGGCGAAAGAGCTACAAAGAAGCAGCCTCTTCGCCACCAACAGTTAGTAAATTTAAATTTCCCGCCCTTTCCCCCTTCCTTTTTGTGTTCATAAGTGGAAGCTCCGTTCACAAGTTGATGTAAAATTTTGCAAGTGGTGCTGTTCGTAAATTGAAAGGTTCACAGATAGGGGCGTTCGTAAGTCAAGGTACCACTGTATAAGACCCTGTCTTATTTTGGGGGAAACACGGTAGAGAACATATTTGTTTCATCTTCTAGGTGGTATTCCTTCTGATATTTGAAGATGGCTGTCATCAGTCTTTTCCAAACTTAACATGCCTCTCAACCAGTCATCTTAGGGCTTCATTTCCAGACTCTTCACCATCTTGTTCACCATACTTTGGATATATTTCAATGTATTGGCAACCTCTGTAAATTAGGGTGTCCAGAACTGAGATTCTTTCACCTGTGGT